CCCACCCGCCGCCGCCGCCGCCCCCGTACGCTCAAATTTAAAAGGATTATTCTGAATTTAGCCCATTCAGGCCAGAGTGAAACCCTTCGTCCACTGGTCCTTATTAACAAGCTTAATGCAGGAAATACACAGAGGAAGTGAGCAGAGGGTCAGCGGCTCAGGTTCTGCAGATAACCCTGCTTACAGGTGAAGTCAGAGGGGATACCTGTTCACTGTTAGGGCTGGTGTAGTGCAGTGGAGCTCTCCTACTGAGGGATTATTGTGTGGTGATGCTATCATCACAACCACTCTCCCACTGTCTATTTATAGTTCACAGAGCTCTCCCTCTCTCTCTGTCTCTGTCTCTTTCAGTCTCTCTGTCAGATTCTCCATACTGAATGCCAAATGCATTAAAAAGGAGAAGGTCAGAAAAAACAGAAACACTAACCAGCAGTTAGTGGTTTCAGACACAGAAATTTAGCACCTGAAGTTGGTAAACTTTATATATCGTCCTTTAAGACGCATAAAGACACAATTTCCACAGCAGACGATGACATTACATTTGTATTTGTATGTTAAAGATACAGTAGCGCTGCAACAATTAGTAAATTAATCAATTAGCTGGCAACTATTCAATTAATCACCAACAATTTTAATCATCGATTAATCATTTTGAGCCATTTTTGAAGAAAAAATGTCTAAATTCTCTGATTTCAGCTTCTGAAATGTGAATATTTTCTGCTACCTTTAGTCGTCTATAACAGTAAACTGAATGACTTTGGGTTGAGGGCAATCACCTTGAATCAGGAAACATCTGATCAACATTTTTCTGACATTTTATGGACCAAGCAACTAAACGAATCGAGAGAATGATGGATAATCGTTGGCTGCAGCCCGAGAATACACTGGGTATCTTAGCGACTTCGAATGAGCAAGAACATTTGAGTTTACTGTCTGGTTCAAAGACATTTTGAGCAGACACGTGGCTGGAACAGAGCCTCCCACAGAGACAGCTGTCTGCAGCCACAGGTGCACCTTCACACTTCGAGACATCAGGCGCTCATTAAGGCGTTTCATTAAGATTTCGACCTGCAGTCACACCTCATTTTGTGGAGCACTTTATTTGATCTCTGGATTATTAAATTCAGTTTATTTTGGTCAGGTGGGCACGAACTCACCCACGCTTCACTTGGAGCTCCAGATATTCTGTCTCGTGGATCGACACTTCAGTCCAGATTTTATAAAAAATACACTATTTCTATCTGGAAATCATTAAAAAAAACATGAGAGCTGCAAGAACAACATTCCCTTAAAGGTTGTGAGCTACGGTTTCTAATGCAGGCACCAGTCTCGGGTTCATAATGTGAGATTTCAGATGCAGTGTGTGGACCTGACCGCAGTTTAGGGTCCTGAATGTCTCGTCCCAGCGTTCAGACAGAGACAGCAGACATCCAGCAGTCGACACCGGACGGCGGCTGATTCTGTCTGCCAGACGGACCGCAGCGTCTGAGCCCCAGGCTGGGAACACAGACGAACCACGGCACCTTAATCTGGATTAGCTGCTAAATTAGAAGCCTGGTTGCTTGTGTAATCCCGTTGACAAAGTTCCTGCAGCCCCCATGGCCATTTGACAGCAGCCGATTCATTCAGGCCAGACCAGGACAGGCCAACATGGGCCAGACAGACAGATACAGAACCCAGATAGGGCAACTAATTAGAGCTACTACAGAAACAGTGCAACTAAAAATACCACAATATAAAAATACAAGCAGCTAAATGTTCTTAAAAGTAAAAGTAGTCATTATGCAGCAATAGACTCCTGTGACTGATATATTGTTATATATGATCATATAAAAGTGGCAGTTAGAGACACGAAGGAGGGAGGAAGAACAAATCCACTAATTTCTGTTTATTTTTGGACTTTTTTTATAGTAATCTTTGTTTTTTGTGAAATATTATGAAATGTGACCTCTTTGGGCCTCGAACAAGTTTTTTAAAGGAGACCATGTGAGGAGGGGAAATGTCTGCAACTCACAGACGTCTAAAAAAGGTTGAGAACCGCTGGTTTAATATTTAAAAATGTGTTTCAGTATTGGTTGTTTATTGTATTTATTTAATTCTTAATCTGAAAAGTAACTATAGCTGTTAAATAAATGTATTGAAGAAGGTTACACATTTCCCTCTGAAGTGAGGTATAAACATTATGGTTCTTAAAGTCTCATTAAAATGGAGAAACTCAAGTAAAGTACAAGAATCCAAGTTTTAGGCTACTTACAGTACTGGAGTAAATGTACTTGGTTACTTTAGGGAGCCTCAGTGGAGACATTAAAGCAGCTGTTTTTATCTTTGAGTAAACTGACTAACTGACATATTCTTATGGATATTTCATATTATAATCAACACATGCTGCAGAACTGCAGGAAGTTTGTGTAAAACGAGTGATTTGGATGAATTATTTTCTGTGAATATTGATCAGAAAATGAGTTTTACTGATATTTTTAGCAACTTTTTATATAATTCTCTATCCGTATTATAGTTTTTAACAATCATACATATTTAATAAACGTCATTTTGACTAATTCTGTGTTTTCTTCTCCTTGATGCCTTGTGATCGTTCTGTTGTTTTAACAGCGTATTTTACTTTTCTTCACAGAAATATGTTGAGATATTTTCCTACTGTGTGTGTTTTTAAGTTTTCTTGCACCCCTTAAGATCAAGAAGGCCTCGCAACCCCCCGCGAAGCTCTGGCGACCTCTAGTGGAGGAACACCAAAGATAAAATGTAAAATATGACAACACCATTAAACCTATATAGGAACAATGCAACCGAAGGAAAACAATAGATTATAAATACTGTTACTGAATGAACACGAGAGAACACATCACGTAAAGCTACGAATACACTGCTCATTAAAAGAATAATCTCACAATCCTGCAGTTATTTTTCCTACAGACTGGACCTGATGACACCACACACACCCACACACACACACACACACACACACACACACACACACACACACACACACACACACACACACACACACACACACACACCTACAGTAATGTGTGAATCAGGCCCAACTGGGGGACGCTGAGCAGCAGCAGCAGATCAGGATGTGTCTGTCAGCCAGTGGTGGTTTGTGTGTGAGAGACAAGACAACTTACATAATCCAAGCAGCAGCAGCAGAAGAAGAAGAATAGGAAGAAGAAGAAGAAGAAGAAGAAGAAGAAGAAGAAGAAGAAGAAGAAGAGCGACTTATGCGCGCAGCTGTCCTCGGAGCGACTGGAGACCCAAACCCCAACAGGTTTCCTCTCTCAGGGAAACCTTTTCCAACTGGACTCCCTGAGGAATGATTGCTCTCCCAGAGGATGAAATACATTAAATTTAATCTTTACAATCCGACAGTAAATTCGGCTGACAAACAATGTGCCGAATATAATCTTTTCTCATATAATTTAAACTTTTAGAATTGATTCACTCTGTTCGTTACTGCAGTCTCAGCAGAACAAGAATGTCAGTACAAGGGGCACCATTAACAAAATGTAAGATTCTATCATAAGCAGTCACATCTGGGGTGTCAGACGTGTGCCGATCTGAAGAGCAGCTTCAATTAAACATGAGATTTATCCCCAAAGCCTCATTCTGTCGCGTATCAGCGTTAAACAACAAGCTCGATTCATAAACAACCATTTTCCAAGTGCAGTTTGGCTGTAGACTTCCCACGCGCGACACAATGGTGCGTAATGGGATTTCCACGCTGCGCTTTCCCTCTTGAGAAAGCGGTGAGTGATGTAGACACTGTCCATTCACCAGAGAGACATATACCCTGTGTTTCCCATACAAACAGATACTTTCTGAACATGTTTAAGGTGCTCAAACAAGGAGGCAACGCGCAGACGCGTAAAACCCAAATGTACAGACAGAACGGTGGAGAGAAACTTACAATCACAACCCAGAGACACAAACACACAGAAGAGTTCAAGATACAGTTTAAAGACACTCACCCTCTATGGCAGATCCGTCCAGCACGGTGCTAAAGTAGAAAAATAAAAAGAAATGTGTGTGTGTGTGCGTGTGTGTGTGTGTGTGTGTGTGTGATCCCGGTCAGATGGCCAATTCTCTGCTTCACCTACAAACTGATGGATCCAGGCTCAGTCCAACGTCTCCAATGTCACAGATCGCGGCCAATGCGAAGTCATGTAAGAGCAGCACAGTCTGGTGCTGCATTTACGTGCCATGAGACAGATCAGGAAATATGAATCATCTCTCACTCTGCCCGTAGGCGGACAACACCTCACATTTAATTCCCCAGAATATAAAAGAAAGACATTAAAACAGTGTAAAAGAAATGATACATCAGATTAATGAACACACTCCTGATACAGTCTAAAGTCTATGGAGATCCTCACATGATTGGATATTGTTGGACACTTTAAAAATAGTTTACAATACTAAACAAATGAACTTACTTCTGAATATAATTTATTTGAGCCACCTGTTCAGTTGTAGTTTATATCTGTGTTGGAAAAAGGAAATAGTTTTTATACACAGTGAATTTGTTATTGTACCTTATTAATAAAGACTAAATAAAGTCTGCCTGAAGGTGTTTAATATCTCATAAATATACAGCTCACACAGATGCTACAATAAGATTATAATATATAGTTATATATACATATATATTGTATGGAAGTGTGGGAGAAAAAAGGGATTCTGTAAGTCATTATAATGAGAAACATTCTCAAAATACTGACTTATTATAGTCTGTTATAGAGATAGAAAGTCAAACGAACATTGTGTGAATATTTCCCTCCCTGTTGGGATATTTCTGTGACCACTCATGTATTCCCACGGTCCGTGAAGGCAGCAGGAGGAGGCGCTGTGTGACAGACATGTCGTGCGGTGACTCAGAGCTGAGTCAGAGCCTCGTGTCCCGCCCACAGCGCGGTGGCGGGCCAATGGCGCTCATGCGGAAGCGGGGCGCAGTGGCGGGCAGTCACGTAGCCGTCCACAGGCCCTCTCTGTGCGGGTTAAAGGGACGCCAACTGCCGGTCCATGCGCGGAGGTATAACCCCCCCACTGACCATTAAAGGCACGCTCCACACTCACCTGTGAGAGGAATGTGGAGATCAGATTTAAAATATTCAGCTCACAGCAGCTTTTCCTGAAGGTGGTGACACTAATATTTCTAATAATAAATAATATATCTGCAGGTTTCTATGGAAGCCTATTACTGCCAAAAAAAGATTCTGTAAATCAATACAATGAGAAAGTTTCAAGAGTTTGACTGTTCATAGACAGAATAATGAAGGTTAAACACCTCGTTAATCTAAATGACAGCATATAGAGATTATAAATTCACTGTTTTTGGATTAATCCGGTGATCTATGAGGAAGATTAGGTAACCCTTGACTTGCATCGACCTCTACTGGCAATCAGAGGGAACTGCAACACAAATCCTCTCCTCTGTCCCTCTTCATCCCTAAACTGTAGATTCTAGTGGACTGCTTCAGCTCGAACCTCCACCCACAACCTTTAGTGATCTGCACCTTCACCTGAACACAACCTGAGCCTCCACCTACAGGAAACTCCCCGTGGGCTCCACAGTCACAGCCTGAACCTCCACCCACAGCCGCTGCCTTCAGGTGCTGGTTGCATGGCTGTGCACAAGTGAGTGAAACCAAATAAGTTTATATCTTCTCTGTCTTTGTGTAAATGTAAATGATCGTCAAGTTTTCTAAAAGTTAATGTGACCTTCGCCGTGTAAAGAAGTGTAAGTGTTTCACCAGTTTGTGCACATTGTGTGATAATGTGGGAGAGCAGAGAGAGAGATTTTCTATTTCCAAGTGTTTTATGTGGTTATGATTTACATCCTTTCCGGCCTGAGCCTGAGCTGCAGCTTTAAAGGGTTAATCTCTGCAGTATCCAATGACACTTGGCACCAGGTAGCTTTATTTTCCCCAAACTTTATCCCTGTAGTTTTCTATTGCAGGTAAACTCGTTGCTCTGGGTAACTGTTCTGTCTTTCTGAGACAGATTCAGCTTTATGTTTGAAGCCACCTTCTGCAATCCGCTGGTTGGCCAAAGGGAGGAGAGTGCTGGTGATGAAGATGAGGGAACTGTTCCTGGCCATGAGATGCTGCAGGGTTGTGGGTGGCAGAGAGGAGGAGCTGTTGGACCGCAGTGGCACCAGGTCCTCCCCGTGCAGGTGAATGTGGGAAGGGCTGATAGTTGATGATGAGTCTAATCTCCGATACATTTACTGTTTCCTCCTGTTTGAGTTCTAAATGCTACAAACTGGTGAATCAGGTTTCCACACAGCCCTAACCGTAAGACCCACGTTGTAATGAAGCCTGTGAGACTCTGGTACAGTGCACGACCTGCTGGTGTGACAGGTGAGATACATGACGCACGTACAGAGTGGCGCTGCTCCTCCGTGGACGGTTCCAACTGTTTACGCACGCGGAAAAAAACCTCGAGGCGTGCCTGAAATCTGGAAAAGATAATTACACCAGTGTTTGTTTTTATCTCCTATATATATATATATAATACATCATTAAACATCTTCCCTCCCCTCCACAAATGTTACTAATCGTGTATCGTCGTGCGTAAAATGGTTGGCTCCACTGGCACGCTGCTGTCTATAAGCTCCCTTAAAGCTCTTTAAGTCCCTCAGTTTTACCTCAGACTCAGAGCAACAATGAGCCACGGAGACCGTTACACCTCGTCATCCTACCGGAAGATTTTCGGGGAGTCTCCTAGGTTTTCTGCCTCCTCCTCCCGCATGGGCAGCGCCTCCACCCGGAGCTCCCCGGGGCTCAGGCCCATGGCCCGCATCAGCTCGGCCCCCATGAACGTGTACAGGCGGATCGGCCGGTCCTCCACCTCTTTCTCGTCGATGCCCGGCGACTTCCTCGACTTGAACCAGACCTCCATAGTCAACAGTGAATTAAAAGTCATCAGAACTAACGAGAAGGAGCAGCTGCAGGTAGGTGTGGAAGTTAAAACGGATTCTTTGAATAAAAAAGTGTTTTTAATTATTGCTCTATAATGATCTGTTGTCATTAAAAAAATCCACATTTAATAGCCTAACACAATTCACCCAATATAGACATAAAGCTGACATACAATAAGGTCCAAACATTATCAACACTTCACATACTTCATGATAATTAGCTTATAATTCTGCAGCCACAGCCCTTAAGTATCCGTCCAGGTAGTGAACTGCATTTACCTGACCTGGAGTCAGTTCATATTAGACGAAAACTAGTTAAAAAATAATAATGAAATGTGGTTACCAACAATGTGGTATAAAGAGTAAAGAAAGGGAATAAAATACAATATAAAATATATTTGCTATGTACAATAAAATGTGTATATCTGAACATGTGCAACGTTTCCTAAATACAGGTAAAATAAACACAATAAACTTTATTTATACAGCCCTTCAAAAATCATATAGATGTGAGGTAAAGAGCTCCATCATTAATAAGTACTAACAATAAAACAGATAAAAACATAAGGCAAAATTAACTGCAGTAATTTAAACAATTAAAATAATAAAGTACACATTGCTGATATATGATTAAAAAAAAACAATCTTAATAATAAAATAAATGCTAAAATGAATCAAAGGTTCCAGAGGGGCTCTGACTGCAGCAGGATCAGACTCCTAGTGTCAGAGGTTACTTTATTACGGCTTTAACCAATTTATTGACTCTCCAAACCATTAATTTATCTTCTCCTTGATGAAAGCACCATCATTCTGCAACCTTACAGAAGGTGAAACATCCCCTCCAGACACGTTTTAATCCATAGAAGACTTTAAATATTCTGTGTCTGATATCCACTCTGTCTCCCTCCTTGAATCCAGAGTCTATGTCTCTTTCTTCCCTGTTGACTCTCAGTGTTTTGTGACCTGGAGGTTTCCACATCACTCTCCTGTAAGCTGCATACAGACTAGTTGTGATGTAACAGAATCCAGCTCGTGTTGAACTGAGATTCACGTCGAGCGCAGACACATTTTCCTCTGTCAGCAGATGGATGTGAGAACAGCCTTCAGACTGTGTACTTACATCATTCTGCACAGTGAAGCATCAAAGTCAAACATTTTAAGATGTCACAGCAGGAAACTCACAGCTGTAAATAATAAATAATGGCTGAGTTCCATTTAGCTGATTCAGAGATCTAGTGTTGGTGAAGCTCAGTGTGGTTTCCAGGCTTCCTGACTGGTGGCACAAGTGGGGCACTGACTTATACAGGGCTGGCATCAAGTATGTGTCTCCGCTTTCAAGTTATTACCAATTTGGGGTAGATTTTAAGGTAGTTACATGTCAATGTTGTGTTTAGAGATTATTCTGCTGCCCCCAAGTGCTAAAAACAAGAATGAAACTCATCCAGTGCAGCTTTAACACATTGATTGATTCACAGTATGCGGAGAAATATAAGCTTTTAAAATACAGATGGCCAATTATATTGGACGCAGGTTTAAGGTTTAGTGAATCAACGCTTTTCCGGTTTTTTTGCGACCATAAACGAGCATTAATCCCGTTGCACAGGGTCTGAATGACCGCTTCGCCGTGTTCATCGATAAAGTGCGGCACCTGGAGCAGCAGAATAAAGTGCTGGAGACGGAGCTGGTGACGCTGCGGCAGAAGCAGATCGAGCCGTCCCGCGTCGCTCATGTCTACCAGCAGGAGATGAGGGACCTGCGATCCCAGTTGGAGGAGCTGAGCAGGGACAAGAACCGCATCCTGATCGAGAAGAACAACATGGAGGACGAGCTGCAGGTAAAACCATTAGGTAGTTCTGCTTTGATTTCCTGTATCCTATCAGTATTTACTGCTGGGAAGTAGAAATCACAAATTTCCTCATCTATTTCATCTGAGCTCTCCTGTCATGTCTCATTTCAGAAGCTCAGTGTGAAGTATGATGAGGAGACGAGGGCGCGGGAGGTAGCCGAGCAGACCTTGAGGACCTTCAGGAAGGACGTGGATGACGCCACAGCTGTTCGCCTGGACCTGGAGCGCCGCTTGGAGTCGCTGATGGACGAAATCTCCTTCCTGAGGAAAGTGCACGATGAGGAGATGCAGGAGCTGAGCAGCATGATGGAGGCGCAGCAGGTCTCCGTGGAGCTCGAGCTCGCCAAACCGGACCTCACTTCTGCCCTGAAGGAGATCCGCAGCCAGTACGAGTCCATCGCCTCCAAAAACCTGCAGTCCGCCGAGGATTGGTACAAGAGCAAGTTTGCCAGCCTCAGCGAGCAGGCCAGCAGGAGCAGCGAGGCAATGAGGGCCAGCAGGGAGGAGATCAATGAGTTCAGGAGGCAGCTGCAGTCCAGGACCATTGAGATTGAGAGCCTGAGAGGCGCCAATGAGTCTCTGGAGAGGCAGATCACAGAGATGGAGGATGCACACAACTCAGAAGTCTCAGCCATGCAGGCAAGCAATCATAGTCATTAAGAAGAATAGTGAGTAGATAAACCAGGGGGACATATATTAGCGTGTCCCTCCAGGGTTTCACAGGCTGTTCTTGGGGGGATTGTTGTGGCCTAAAATGGCTGAAGGCAACTCGTTCTGGTGAGAATAAAATCACTAGAAGTTTGGTTACGTAAGGCTCAATGTTTGCACAGGGGAAGGCTATTATTAGTGAAACTACAACTGGACAAAATCATGCAGAATTCATGGGGATTGGTTGAATTTGCATTTTTTGTTGCGATCACAACTGCAACTTCCTGAAGGCACTGGGCCATAACACCTGTCTGGTTACCTTCTCTTGGCCTTGCTTGGTTAGTATTCACAGAGGTTGGTTGAATTTACATTACGTTTGCAACTTCCTGGAGCTTCTATGTTGCTACCAGCATTGCTGTTAACGTATTCACTTATTTAATTTAATCACTTATTTATCTGAAAACATACATTTTTAAATAAAATACAGTCTGCACCTTTTTACTTGTGTAAAACATTTTTAAACTTAACTTTGCTCCCACAGTTAGGAAAAGATCATCATTTGGGTTAAAAGCGTGACTTGCAGGTCATGTTGGCTTTACAGCAACAACAAGTCACGTACATAACGTTATGTAAGTAAACAGGTTTCACATGTGCCACGAACCCTGGTCCCCCTGGGTTTGTTTCATTTATTCACCTCCATTGTACTGGGTGGTAGTCTTGCTGTACTGAGCTGGCAGGAGAAACATCTCAAAACCAAGTGCCAACCTGGGCTGAAAAATGATGCCAATGCAGAAGTGCCAATAGTTGCAGTTCCTCCAACGGCCACTTGAAGCTGGCTCCAAAAAAAGATAGTTATATGTCCCTGTGTAAAAGCTCCCTAAAAATCACCTCAAACATTACACTCTGGTTCTTTGTACAAAGTAATGAGATATAAAGTGTTATTTAGTGAGTTTTAGAGGTGCTGGTATGCAGATTTTGTTACCTACGGACACAGCCAGAAAGCTAGTTTCCCATATGTGCAGTTGTTCCTTTAACAGTAAATAAAAATGGGAGCAGTGAGGCTTCCAACTAACATTTGATCAAATATACATATAAATAAAGGTAAATTAGAAATAAAGAAATACTGTCTGTCATGATAACCTCTCTCTGGCTCTAAGTTTCACATTTATCCACCTAATTCAGGTTCAAGGTCAGAAGTCAAACGTGACCTTTAGTGTGTGTTAGTCCCTTTAATAAGCCTCTGTAAGACTGACTGAAACAGTTCTTAGTGAATTGACCCTGCCCGTCTATTAGATTAACCTCTGACCTGCTAAATCGGAACAGGAAGGCCATCTGCTTTCACTGGCTCTTTAGAGAAGGTAAAGCTAAGCCCCAAAGATCATTGTAAGGGATCAAAGGAAATCCTACAGTCCAGAGTTATATGACAGAAAAGCCTATATGGGCGCTGGAAGTTCAAATCTGGCATAATACAAAGCATTGCTTCATAAAAATGCTTATGCTTATAATGTCTTTCCCCCTTTTTACTGGGATTTACATGTGAACACTGATATTTAGGTATTTAATCAGTTTTATCCACTAAAAATAGTAAGATGTGTGTAAAATGTTGTAAATTAAATAGGCTATAGGTGAAAAACCATGAATGTCATGCATTTAGCATTTAGTATGACATCATTATTTAGACAGACTTTCTCTCAGCACCTCCAACTCTGGCTGACTTTCCTATTTTGTTTCAATATCAGCCTACTGCGTAGTCACGTTCATACACATAGCGCGTACACACATCCATGATTAGTTAGCAGCTAAAATGTGACGCCTAAAACATCTCTGGCCCTCTGAGTGACAGGTAACCAGTGTAAGGAGTTTAGGACTAGTGTAATGTGATCGTATTTCCTAGCTTTTGTGAGGACAAAGAACTTTTTTTAAAAGACCTGTGTACAGACCATTGCAGTAGTCCAATCTACTTGAAACAAAGGCATGAATAAGCTTTTCTAGATCTTGCTTGGACATTACTCCGCTGATTCTAACAATATTTTTAAGATGGTGGAAAGCAGATGACGTGTGACTATTGAAATTTAATTCAGAGTCCAAGATAAGTGCAGGATTTCTGTCTAGACTCTCAGTAATGAGAGACAGGGATTAGGTATGGGATTATATGAACATTTTATGTCACAATTATTTGGTCCAAAATAATAGCAATACACAATACCATCACAATAATCATAAAAATTATGTGAGGATATCCGATAAACGATAAGGGAGTGTTTTTTATCACAATACGCGATAACATCATATATCGTCCCATCCCCAGAGACGATATTCTGTGTTCCAGTCACTGATTTGATCGATACAATTACACAAAGATCCAACAGGTCCATAGTCACCCAATGTAAGTGAAATATCGATTCAGGTGTCATCTGCATAGAAACAGACAGTATACATGCTAAGGAGGTGAATTCACTTAGAAAACTGTGTCAGACACTACTGATAATCTTACAGCTTTTCTCGCTTCTAACTCTCGTCTTATTTCCGATGTAACAGGACACTATTGGCCACCTGGATACTGAGCTGAGGAACCTGAAGGGTGAGATGGCCCAGCACCTGAGAGAGTATCAGGACCTGCTCAACGTCAAGATGGCCCTGGACATAGAGATAGCTGCCTACAGGTGCTGACTGGATTAAAGGACAAAGCAAAACAAAAGATCTCTTGACTAGTTAACTCGTTAAACGTCTTTAAGCATTGTCAGGTGTATTAAGTCTGTGCATCTAGTCTGACCTGTGTTTCCTTTGGTCCCGTAAGGAAACTGCTGGAGGGGGAAGAGACACACTTTAACTCAGGGATGTCGTTTGGTGCTGCCAGCTACAGCTACCAGCCTCAAGCCTCAGCCGGCTCCTCCAAGAGCAGCAAGAGGGAGAAAGAAGGGGCCACGAAGGAAAGCTTCAAGGAGAGCAGTGAGGATAAAGATGAGGCAGACATCAACTCCAACTGACGAAAGACAGACAGGGAAATCTGGAGATATACCGTATATGTATAGTGAGTTCATAGTCACACATTGTATTTATTAGGGGCAACAGTAAGAAATGTTTTGGAATCAGAGCAGAAAGTCAGTATCCTAAAAAATACAGTTTTAGTTGGGCATAGGACTCTGAAACTATCAAATTTTATCCGAATAAAAGCAGAGGTAAACAAAGAAAACGAACCTGAAAATGTAGGCCATGTGTACTTTACGTCTCCAGAGGAGATGCAAATATTGTACCAGAGTAAATATGGGACCAAGTATTGGATGAATTTCCAGTCTAGAGGTGGGGCCCTCATATAAATGTGGCATCATATAAAACTAGATGAACTAATGCATCCATTGGTACCAACACCGTCATGCTAGCATGTTGGGAAGGGGGCTAAATAATGGATGGAAAAACTGGCATGGCCATTTGCAAAGGGACCCCTTGACATCTGTCCTCTGACCTCAAGATATCTGAATGAAAATGGGTTATGGGTACCCACGAGTCTTCCCTTTGCAGACATGCCCACTTTATGCTAATCCCATGCAGTTTTGAGTAAAAACCCTGCAGCTTTTTAGTTTTCCCTAAACATTACTGGAAGTGCATGAATTGGGGATGACTGGAAAGCTGAGACACATACCCCCTCCCAGTAAAAAAAAGTCTAGACCGACCCTGTGAGTTTCCATTTTGCTGCTGTGTGACATTGCACGGAAACCTGTGTGACAGGTGAGAAATAAACTGCTCGGATACAGTCTAAATGTCTCGAGAGAACGACACCAAATGTGTTAGCGGAGTTCAGCTTCTCTGTTGTTGCAGCACGTTGTCGATGAATCTGTGCTACTCAGCTGAATATCAGCTGTCAAATTGGCTTTAAAGAACCAAAGTTAAAGCCACAGTTTGAGCTGAAAAGCAATTATTCTAAGAACAGAAGTTCTCTATGTTCTGCACTTGTCCGTCATTGTTATTAGTTGTTAGTATTTTGTGGAGCCACCAGGTCAGTGTGAAGCACTTTAGGCACGTAGGGTGTACGGGGGTCGACACCAGTGTGTTTTGTGAAGATGTTTTTCCCTTGCTTACATTGTCAGATAGTAGTAGTAGACAGTACTTCTGAATGTTGTAAAAACAACCTGTTGCAGCAGAAAGCATAGCCATTATGTACACAATGCTTTATCAGTGAAAAATAAATGTAAATGTAGTCTAACTGTTCATTTCATCAGGCTGCAGTGTCGATGTAAACAGCTGCACTGAATAATGCAGAGAATAAAAATGACATGACTGACAACTAGTGATGTGTCTTTTGTAATTGTCGGCAGAAATTAAAGATCATATCTATAGGTATGTTTTTGTTTGTGTATAATCACCTGAAAATAAGAATTGTTGTTTTCATTAATGAGCTGTTTTTAACGGGTCGCCTTCCATGAAGTAAAGAATATTCGAGTTTTTTTACATGTTAAATAGTTTAACATATACACTGTCAACCAATTCTAGTTAACATTGCTGAGAGCTTGTAAATCATAGAGCACTCCGCTAGATAAACCAGTGACACCAATATATTACCACAAGCATTTCTTCATATCGGCACGTATCAGATAACATATACGCAGATACTGATAAAATATGTCTGCAACAGCCAATATCAGCCAAAAGTATCAGTCGGGCTCTAACCAAACTAACCATATCTGGTGAAGGTAGTGCACTGACACAGCATTTTCACATTTCTAAGTTTTACCATATGTTTTTGACTTTTAAAGATTCATAGAGTCCTAAACCTAAAACAGGAAACATTTGTCCATTGTGCAACCCTTTATTAATTCATTCTTTTGTCAGTAAGTAAGAAAAACCCTATGAAAGACTTCTTTATACACTTTAAATAACTGCTGTACTGAAAGCAGGTTTTATCAAGTCAATGTACATCAGCAGACAGAATACAAAAGCTCTTAAATTAAATGTGTAAATCAACACGAAGCAAACTGTAATTAAAAATAGAGAGTAGATCTAAGCTCTATATAAAACACACACACACACACAAACCTTTGGTAGTGGTAGTTTCAAGCCCTTTAAATCACAATTATCTATCTGATATCATAAATACAAAAAAAGAACATATTAATCCCTGGTTTTCAATAAGGTCAACTACCTGCAGAGACATTGTACTTCCTTCAGAGTTTCAGCCCCACTAACAGTAATCCAGTCCAGTTTTAGCTACAATAACAGTCACAGTGTGAGTGGAAGTATGCTGAATAATGCCTTAAGAGACACCATGGCCTTTATAAATTCATCAGGTTACACTTCAGTAAATCAAATGTATGTCTCCTGCAGACACACAGGTCCTGAAAATACAAGATAATCTGAGGAGTCGAACATTTGATGCTACAGTGTGAACGAAGAGTTCAGGTTTCATTGCAGGCTGTTCAATAAAGAAAGTTCACAGTTGTTGGACTTTCTCTTCTCCAACCTCCTGCTATATTTCATACGTTTCAAGTTTTGTCAGCAGAGAGCGACAATCAGACAGTTGTGGAGTAGTTATAATGCCAAAGTAGAAAGAGTCTGATGGAGAGAAGGTCAGGAATGAACTACATCCGTCCCTCCTGCTCAAGACTCGGAGGGCAGGACCAAGCCGAAGTGCAGCACCAGCAGACCGTCCTGTAGCAGAGTGGAAACAGGAACAAAAGCATCATTACAAAGTATTCCTGGACGTCTACAAAACTCCCATCATTAAATCTGTGGTTGGTTCCTGCTGCGTGTTTCTGCTCACCTGTAGCGCCTCTTCGCCCACAGAGTTCTGTATGTCTTTGAGTGACTGGTAGTGATCCAGGAGGTGGTCTCCACAAACCACATCCACCTGCAGACGCACAGAAACACACGACACACCCCTGCTTTCACAATTCTGGAGGGACACATTATGAACACCAGAAACTGAATAGACCCAGTGCCACACCAACCAGACAAGGTTGAAACCTAGTCCATGTCTGGGTATGGTCAGTGTGAACCTGAGGACGTTACTGAGGACTGGATGTGCCTCGCTGTAAAGCTTTGTTTATGCTCAGTACAGTTGCCACACGCGCCTCTTGCGTTGGGCGTAGGGCTGTCGCGGTGAAGGAATTCCCCTTGCTCGTCTGTTACTGGGAGATGTTTGGTTTCAGTTAGTGAACATATTCGTCTGACCGTCTGTTAACAGGGTCACATGGAGATCAGAGGGTAGACTAACATTTAAAGGGTAACCAGTCGATTGCGGTGATTGTAAAAGTCTTTAAAGGGGAGAGTTATATAACTGTTGTGACCTGTTACAATGGACAGTGATCTTTAATTAGTCTTTCTCTGTCCTCTCGGGGTTTGTACAGACGGACCAGAGCAGTGCAGCAGCAGCACTGAGGCCAGGAAATCAGCATAAGCTGCTAATCCTCATCCACGTGTTACCAAATACTGGATACACCAACACCTGAACGCTGCACGCCTCACTGAAACAGTCCGCCTGCACTCTGAGGAACGAGGACTCACTCATATCTGTAACCATCTCTTCAGACAGCTCGTAACAGCTCTGAGACAGACGCGTGGTATCATGGCACTCATTATCAGAGTATAATCAGATTAACTTAAGAGTGTCTGTTGGCCTTTATTTGTAGGCAGCCTGCTGAGATTTGACCCGAGCAGTTCTTCTCTGTTGAGCTCTGCTTGTATTCTGACTGAGGGGCTAAAATACAATGCACATTTTACAGCACAACACTGATTATTTCCACAATATTTGGTCTTTCCAATCAATTTCCAGGTGTTTCTAGTTTCTAGAAAACTAGTCTCTAAACTTCCAGATCTGAACCCTGAATATTGTCGTACTGCCTCTGACTTAAACTCGTTCTGCCCTTTCTTATGACACTGCTGTCAACCTGCCTGTCACTGTTAGCAGAATCACCAGATTAAAGTTTCAGCTCCTCCTCTTTCTCTCTCTCTCACTCTCCATATGCACACTTTTTATTTCTTTTGATCGCTGTCCCCGTCTCTCTCTTCTCAGCGAGCTGGTGAAATTATGTTTAAACGTTTACATGTAACTGAATTAACCTGTTAGCACTGCCTGATCGCCAGAGCGGGACGGCCTCCGATCCGTGTCCAACCCCCGACAACCGTTAGCTGTTGTAGTTATCAAAGTTATTAGTTATTTCCAAACAGGTGTTTTTTCTGTTCCTATCACTCCCTCTGCAGCTGATTTGGGTTGTGAATGATCTGCCTGATCTGCCATCATTACCACCCGGTTGTAGTTGAATTATTTGTTGAATTACATTTAATTAATTGACCCTGTGTGACTCCTGTCGGTCATACAGAGCATTCATTCAATATCTGTGATTTTATTCGTATTCGTTGGCTACCTTAATGTGCATCACTCGCTGCAGGTGTGTGTTGCCTTTAAGTGTGGACATATGGCTGCACACTGTTGGCCATTATGAAACTACAAAAGCTGTCTTCTAATACGTAAAGCACCCTCTCACTCACTCACACCTACACTGTACTGTTATGAAGACTTGCTTTGCTGTCCGACTTCCAAGTCTGTCTAAAGCAACAGTCGGGATCAGGATGGTCGGTCTGTGAACCCATCAGCTGTAAGCCCGACAGACTTACCTGGCAGGCCGGGCTCAGCTCCATCTTCCTCCTGATGAACAGCTCCACGTGGCGGACCGTGGCCTCGCCCGACACACGGACGTACCGCCTCTCTAATGGCTTAACAGGGACAGTGTGGTTAGGGTGCAATCCAACTAGAGCTGCAATGATTAGCCGATTAACCGGATATTAAATTAATCGCCAACTACTCTGATAATCTTTGTAGCTTCTGTTACAGTGCACCATTATAATCTCATAAGAACTGTTATAAACTGCCGTAATAAGAAATATTTTATGTCATTACCTTATAGTTATTGATGCCCTCTTCAGCCCTGAAAACAAGAGCACAATATACAGTAAGTACAACTGGTACAGAGCAGTCAATGGAAGAAAATAGCCCCATCTGGTGGTATGTCTGTGAAACTGTATAATAATTACATTCACTGCTACAAAAGCAAAGCTGTGATCCTTTAAACTAGAACATGTTACCACTCTTATTAAAGGTGATTCCCACCAATGAGAGACTAGGATCAGGATTTCTGGTTACAGACGGTCACCAAGGCAAACTGACACCAACTAACCTGCGCTCTCTCTCTCTCTCTCTCTCTCTCTCTCTCTCTCTCTCTCAGGTTATAATAAAGCTAGTACTGGCTGTGAGCTTCAGGGTGCTGTATTGTGAATGCTGCTGGTGGGAGCAGAGCCATCAGTAATGTTATTAGTTACACCTGTGCTTTTGGTCAGAGCACTGTTACCAGGAAACAGGCAACAGAAATAGACAGTAAGAGCCTGTTTACTGATTCACAGACAAAAGTGTTTTTTTTGTACTTCAGCATCATTCTAAGAAATAAGAAAAGAAGACAAAGGCTCTGCCATCTGATCCTGTCTGAAAGCAACATTAACCTGCAGTTGTGGCTCATTAACTAATTAAAACAAAGAGATGAAGAATGACAATACCATGACATGTTCAACCAGTTAATTAAGTTAATCAAACTAGATTTTATTTTTATCTAAGATGTGTAGGGCCTTTAAATAAATATGCAAACTCCTTCACACTGTATCATACGTCTGCTAATACGTTTGTGTAGGGAAAGGTCTGGGAAAAGAGGGTGGGTGTCTTTGTCATTTGTACTAATAAAAGACAACTAATAAACAGTGTTAACACGTTATGTTTTCTGTATATTTAGACTGAACTAACACAGAACTGTCAGTGAGATCCTCACCCAACAAACTCCAGCATCAGAGACACATCCAGCTCAGGAGGAATGGTGAATATAGACTGAGAAACGGTCTCCTTCTTCTGCTTCCTGACCACAACAGGAGCCGGGGACACCATCACTGCAAAGCACAAAGAGAAAAACACAGAGCGACCGCTTGAGTGATGAACTCATTAATGCTAAATGCAAAATAAAAACACCAAAGTTAAACTGTAAAACACAATATTAGGGATGTCCCGATCCCCGGTTTTAACCGATCGCTGTCGGGTATTTTAAGCCACATCGATCCGATCCGCTTTTTGTTTTACGTCGGCTGTTTTTACTCACAAAGCTTTCATGCACGGTGCCGAGGGGGGGCCCTGCTCGGAGGAGAGCGCGGTAGAGAGCAGACACAACCACACTCAACATGCCACTGCACGTCCAACCAAAGTCCCGCAAGTAAAATGCCAAAAAGAGTAATTAACTAATGTAACCTGCACCAAAGACGTAGAGGTGACGGAATAAATACTCCAATGATTCAGGCTGAAACACTGGAGAGAGAAACTCCCTCCACACAGACCAATAGGTTACAGAGGTTTGTTATTTACTGTATTACAGGCATTGTTTCTTGATGCAGTGCAGAGATTTTCAAGAATTTTCATTTGATTGATTTTAATAACTTTAACGTACTCTGAGTGCGCAGTGTGCTCCGTATTAACTAAAGTTCTATTAAAGTAATGGATCGGGACTCGGTATCAGCAGATACTCAAGGGGGTAGTCAGTCATATTTCTCTTCTTATTGTGTTGATTAGAATTATTCCATTAACACAGGAATAAGGTGAAATACTGTACGTTACATTACACACAGAGAAGGAAACACTATGTTTTAACCTACTGTACCTGGTTTCGGCACCTCCAGTCCTCTCTCTTTGTAGAAGTTAGTCATTTGTTCTCTTTCCACTGCGAAGAAAAGAGCTCACATTAGAGTTTTTACAGAAGATGACTGTATATATGTATATTTATATTTATATACACTGTACTCACGCTCCTCGAGGAAGGGAACCATTTTGTAAACGATATCCTGCAGTTGTCTGTCAGGCCTGTAAGCGAATGACAAATGTGACAAGCATCTATTCACAGAGCAGGTTCAGGAGAAATCAGGAGAAACCTTTGAAGACTGACGGACTAACCTGATGTTGTAAAGCGGCTGCGTCTGGTGGACTACGATGCTGCACGTGGGACACCTGTTGCTGTAGAAGAAGTTCTTCACAATGCAGCCTTTGCAAACTTGGGAGAAGATAAAACACACAGTCAGAACTTTGTGATATAACCTCGTATGAACCCTCAGTTTACAGCACGTCTGCCTCAGTGATGTAAGGACTGTATTAAATATTATGGGCTTTCTGAGGGCTCACTCACATGTGTGCAGGCACTCTGTGATGGTGGTGGCGTCGATGAGGAAGCCGCAGCAAAGGGCACAGCGGATGTATGGATAGAACTGATTGAGGGGGAGCTTCGGCTGAGGGGACACGGACACAACTTTATTTACCTCACATGAACTGTTATCTTAAATCTGGAGAACAAAAACATCTGTAAACATCTGTAAAACACCTGTAAACACATGTAAAAGCATGTCTAAACACATACAAACGTCTAAACACATATAAACACCTGTAAACATCTGTAAATATGTATAAATATTTATAACACCACAGGTTTACAGGTGTAAACATGTATAAAAACCTGTAAACATATGTATATACACCTGTAAACAGCTGTAAACCTGTATAAACAGCTGTATAACAGCTGTATAAACACCTGTAAACATCTGTAAACTCCTGTATAAACAGCTGTATATACACCTATAAACACCTGTAAACATATGTAAACTCCTGTATAAACACCTGTAAACAGCTGTAAACATCTGTAAACAGCTGTAAACACGTATAAACAGCTGTATAAACACCTGTAAACATCTGTAAACTCCTGTATAAACACCTGTAAACAGCTGTAAACATCTATAAACAGCTGTAAACACGTATAAACACATGTAAACACCTGTAAACAGCTGTAAACCTGTATAAACACATGTAAACAGCTGTAAACATCTATAAACAGCTGTAAACCTGTATAAACACATGTAAACAGCTGTAAACATCTATAAACAGCTGTAAACCTGTATAAACACATGTAAACACCTGTAAACCTGTATAAACATCTATAAACAGCTGTAAACAGCTGTAAACACCTGTAAACATCTATAAACATCTGAAAACAGCTGTAAACCTGTATAAACATCTATAAACAGCTGTAAACAGCTGTAAACAGCTGTAAACCTGTATAAACACCTGTAAACAGCTGTAAACACCTGTATAAACACCTGTAAACAGCTGTAAACACCTGTATAAACACCTGTATAAACATCTATAAACAGCTGTAAACACCTGTAAACAGCTGTAAACCTGTATAAACAGCTATATAAACACCTGTAAACAGCTGTATAAACACCTGTAAACACCTGTAAACACCTGTACACGTACCTCGTCCTCGGAGTCGGTGTCCGATATGTCCGCCCCTTCATGGCTCTTTCTTCCCGGCGGTGGAGACATTCCCAACGGCTGCTGAGTCCCAACCCACCTCCGTGTTCTCCTCTCGTGAGGAGAGAAACCCGCCAGGTGATAGAAGTTTTATTTAGAGGAACTTTGAGTTGAAGGTTTCAGTTACAGGTAAGTTTCTGTGAGTGAGCTAACGCTGCTAGCTGGCTACTCAAACACACGTTAGCTCCGTGCTAACTGTTAGCCGGGTTAAATGTCTCTGAGCTGTTACTACAAAATAAAACTTTTACTGGAAATTAAAGTACTTTATAACTTTTATACCTTTTTTCTACTTTGTTGATTTTTCTCACGTTCCCAACTCAATTTCCCTCGCTCGCGCGCCGCACGCGGATGTGCTTCCGGCAATGACACAGCTTCCGGTCTGGATCCTTCAGAATAAATGTCACCTGACCAGAAAACTAGATTCTGTCTTAATAATGAGGAACTTTCTCTAAATAATGATTTAGTATCTCTAAATAATGATTTAGTCTAATGACTTACCACAATGAGTTACTATAATGCATTAATTACTTCATTATTTTCAGATATTAAGTCATTATAGAAAGTTTCTCATTAAAATGATTCACATGGCACTCTAATACAAATTACACTAATACTACATACATATATTAATATCTTCTATATATTTCATGTATTTTATTATAATGTTTTTAATTTTCCCCCTATTTTTCTATTTTAAATATTATAATATAATACATATTCTTAATATTGTATGTATGTGTCAACAGGAAGCTTTAAGTAAGTTTAACATTTAAAAAAACATATTCAATGTCTAAATACTATCAACTCCCCTACAGTGTCGGGTTAACTAATTAATTACTCATTTCTGTTTTAAAAAGTCATTTTATTACTTTACTCATTACTCTATTACTATTGTCTAATTGTCTACAAATGCTAATATTGTTAATATGACTTTATATTTACCTTCTCAGGCTTGTTGTCCATATTTATCTTACTGTTTGTATCTTGATGCCTTTATTTTGAAGACCTACCTACTGGTTTATCCAGCAGGGGGCGCTAAAGGCTCATCATTACGGTTGAAGCAGGCTTTACAAAAAGTAACTTTAATTTAAATTAATTTCTATTTATTGTGTTTATTATTAAAAAAGAAGGAAACAGTAAATATTGTGTTCTCATTACAGTTTTAAGGAAGTTGGATTCACTGCATCGATCCCCAGCTATCAATCATCAATATCACAGAGGTGAAGTTAGAAAGTAATCATTTACTTTCAAGACATTTATCTGTGTCCAGAATCCTATAATCCGAGTAGGGATGCACTCCTCGTATCATAGTTACTGTCACATAAAGAGAGATCATTATAAATTATCTGGATAATTCAGTTGATATTAATAATCATTTATTTTCCAAAGCGATTGATTGATTTAATATTCTATAAAAGCCCCAGTGTGTAATGAACTGTGGGAGAGTCAGAACTGTTTGTGCTCACTCAGTCTCAACCGTTCTCACCCTCAGGTGTGTGAAATTATCTGTATCGGCCACGAGAAGCAGGTAATTATCGGTTATCGTGTTGCTGAAACTAAATCCACATCGTGCATCCGGTTGCCCTGGGAACCAGATTTAAAGCTCCTGAGTGAGTTTTTCTGTATTTTCATGTGGCCAAACTGTTCTTTACATGGTAAAAACTTAAGTCATGCTTCAGTTGCACATAATAATCTGTTATCTGGGAGAGATGAACCCCAATCTACTGACAGTCTACACATTGTGTGTGTTTATTTTGGCAACAGCGGTGGCGTTTTCATTTTGAACTTAAGCCCTAATATTAGTCGGGGAAGTCCTCCAGCTTCTACAAAGCATCCTTTATTGCTGTCAGTGTATTAATGCATTCAGATGGAGCGGCGTGTATCAACCAACCCTCCTCATTAATGGTCTGAGCTCTGCGTTTATTATCAGGCACTCATTGAACCTACTATCAGGTTAACTTTTCTGTAGTTTTCCAAAGCGAAAGTTCTTCTGTTTGCACTTAAACGCCACATAAACTCCTGTTTTTCACTCACCATTTCAGTCCAGCATTGTTTGAGGTAACTGATTTAAACCTTTTAAGTTTATTAAGTCACATAATTTAAGCATGAAAGATATTTGATTTCAGTAGAAGTAACTCAAGTATTTATTGTTATGAATTGAAGTTAAAACTAATAAGTTAAATGCATCCTTATTTATAAACTAAAAACATTCCCGATTAAGCAGCTTTTACTAGAATATTTAAGTGACACTAACTTAGTTTTTTAAGTTACAGAAACATTCCTGATTAAGAACTTTTTAATAGATATTTTGTTTTCAAAAAATTAAGTCAGTTGTCTCTTAAAATTACAATTAAAAGCTACTTAAGCAAAAGTTCTGCTGTAGTTATTACGGTAAAGTTCTGGCAACCACAACAAACTCTTTTTATAGTTCAGGTATAAACTTGACTCGAGAGTTTCTCAATTCATGATAATCCTCTTTATCCTCTCCACTCGGTCTAATCAGAACAACAAATTCTCACTCATATCTGCGACTTCCTGAGGTCAGATATTTTCTCTCTGTCAGAGGAAGACGTGACGTTTGTTTTTTGGGAGTCAACCGAGATTTCCACCTTTTAACGTCCAAGCTGTTTCAAGCGTCCTGCAGTTAGTCAGTGTCAACAATGGAAGATCAGCATCCTTGAAAAAAACCTTTCATGACACACTTTGCTGTGTTCTTGACTCGACTGAGCCGGGGATTTCCAGACATCTGCTCACTGTGTGCAACAGCTTTGTGTGTGGTGCACATTTCTACCCATTGACATACCTGCATTTTGTATTTACTTGTTCCAGCGACACCATGAAGGACTCCACAGTGGACCAGAGGCCATGTTTGAGAGTAATTTACTGCTATAGACATTCTCAGCACTTGTGGAGATGGGGGGGAAGCCCCATTGAGAATTAGGTGGAATAAATGCACTATTAAGTTAAGTGGTAAATACAGCTCTGTAGCTGGGTGTCTCTTGTGGGATTACTGGGAATTTACAGGAAGGGAGAAGCAGTCAACTTTATAAAATAGCTCGTAGGAATCAGTGGTCTTGTGCTTTTTTTTATTGATCTCTCTGATTTTTAGACCTGGAGCCCTTTTACTTTCTTAAAACCTTGAACAAGATTATGTGACACATACATGTCTTCAGTGAGAGTTAAAGCAGAGTTTCACAGATGGATCCAGTCTCAGGAAAACAGCATTTGTGACATAGGTAAACACTTACCTGATCATTGGTCTGTTTTTACTGGTGAGCTGCTGGTAAATTCATGAGCTACAGGTGTGTGTGAGTGTGTGTGTGTGTGTGTGTGTGTGTGTGTGTGTGTGTGTGTGTGTGTGTGTGTGTGTGTGTGTGTGTGCGTTATTCTGAGTTTGGTGCGTTGAGCTGGACGGACTCACTGAGAATGAGCTGTCAATCACAAGGTAGCCCCGCCCTAAAGCATGCCCTGCTTTATGGTCTGTTTTACTCTAAATGGGACCATCAGTTACTAAATGGAATATCAGGGGCGACACTTTATGAAACACACCTACAATAAAGATAAGGCACCAGCAGCACAATGGTCCAACCTTCCCATATATTAGAATCATAATATATAAATAAACTGTTAAAGAAAGACTCCAAAATGACCTTATCAAAACACTGGTTATATTTTTTTCTTTTTCTAAAGTCAGAAAATTTAAAAGCATTTACAATTTACACAGTACTCATAGTATATTACATGATACATACAGATAATGTTTATGGTGCACCTCACTCAGACAAGAAACCAGCTCAAACAGGCTGTTCCTATCAGTGCAGCACGTCTATTTATATCACTACAGTGGAGACACTGCGAGCTAAGATTTCATTGAGGGATGGTCGGTTCAAGTCTGTCCCACTGGCAATGATGACACTGAAACACAATACCTTCACAGAAATGATACAAAGCAGTTCCCTAGGAATAACTTAAATACCACGTATATGAGTGTTATTTTAGTGGCGGAGTGGCTTGAACAGGCATCAGATCCCGTATGACTCTTCACAACCTTCACTAAGCTTGGCAACACACAGAGCTGATTGACTGGGAGACAATGGAAGATTACAGCCAAAATACACCCGACTCTTGTTACTGTACATGCATGTGCGTCCTCTGTTTCAGTCTCTGCATTTGGGGCGAGCCAAAGGAGGTTCAGACGTCTTCAGAGCTGGTGGTTGAGTCTTCTTCTTTCCGAGCTCCAGGCTCTTAAAGTTGTTGTAAAACCTACATCGTGTTCGTGTGGCGCTGCATGTCGTCTTTGAAAAACGACCGTAGTTTGTCATACAAACATTTCTCAGAGGCAGAGCTGCTGCGGAGGCGGGAGTATTCTCGTTAGTCTGGTTACAACAGTGGCATCCGTTACTGTTTGGGTGATGCAGAAGTAGAAGATCCAGCTATAAGTGTTTTATCTGGAATCTGAACAACTATCTGGCGTCTCCACGCTCTGCAAGTGACGTGTTTTTGGTGGTGATGTCATGAGTTTCTCCACAGCAGATAATCACGTCAATCAAACTTCAGCGGGTGAAGCTAACTGCTGTTTCCCAGCAGGCTGAGGAATGTATTCAACTGGTGCCCGTTCATAAAGCTGGCAGCAGCATTCCTGCTAACCAATAATGTGGAAGCAGCATTAGTGACGTCGTCCATAGGATTGAGAAGGAAACCTTGGGATTTATGGCTCAATCTCAGTTTGGCAGTTCTGGACTGTGTCCCCAATTGTTCCCTCATTCATTGTTTTCCTACATAATTTATGTATAACGAGGAGTAAACTGGGATTTCAGACACTCATCAGCAACAGTGAAGCGTTGCTTTGTGTACATGATATGGAGTTAAATGAAACATAGCTCCCTTTAAGCCTTTATCCTCGTCATTAAGTAATTGTCAAGATTGTCATGTACACAGTAAGAAGTGGAATTATCTATCTGACAATCGATCTTGATAATAAACTGAATGTGTCTTTTAGTGGCCTTTAGAGTGAAGTACTACATTAACCCTAACACAACGGCAATCTCACAGGAGCAGACGGTTTTTAAAGACGATTAAAGCGTGTTTTTACGAATCAAATGCAAAGCAAGACATGTCTGACATCTGGAGAAACTCAGTTGTTGACTGACTGCGGGAACAAGAGGAAAATCTCTAATGTGTGGCCGCGAATGTTCAGAAATCCAGTAGGAGGAATCTGAAGGTCCCGTGCAGGGCTCTACTTTAAAGGACCTGCAGCTTTAAGGCACTTGTGCATTAGCTTAAGCATCTGGCTATATACTGAACATTGCAGTATCTAGGCTTGATTGTTAGCCTTAATCTCCCATCAGGAATGCCGATAAATAAATAATCTCCCCTCATATAGGTTGCCAGGTAGGTTCTTTGGCTCTGAACAGTTTAACTCGGATAATTAAATGAGTAGCTCTGCCTCAAGAAATGTTTGCATTACTTAAACTGCATCTATAGTGAGAGTTATCTGTGTGAGGTGCTGCTGGACTGGCGTCCCCCTCTCAGACCTCCAGGAGGCTCTGCGGCTGCTCAGGTGCTGGCGGGGTTTCCGGCTTGAGGCGACAAATGGGCTTGTTGCACATGGGGCAGACACTGCGGATCTCTAACCACTTTAGAAGACACCTAGGGGAAAGCAGATGGAGATAGATGTTACCTCATTTAGTAATTTTTACGCAAAGTTATGCACCACAAGAAACACATATTTACACAGATACAGGTGATACAGGTAGAAAACTGTCAGTCAGACAGACAGGCAAACAGGTTGCAGGTGTCACACCTACGCCACAGGGCAAAAACTGGTCTCAGCTGCATAATGTCTGCTCAGGTTCAAACATGCAAAGATATATGTTGTCAGGAATCTGCTCATCGTTTTCTGCAGGGCAGCCCTGAAAGTCGTTCCACGTCTCTGTCTGAAATTCACTGAAAGCTGCAGAAATCCATTGTGAAGTCGTTCCTTCGAACCGGTTAGTCAACATTTCAGTCAAGAGGTCGATCGACAAATGTTTAAGAAATCAAAATACCAACCAAAATAATATTCTGTGGTTTTAAGAGTGAGGCCCGTGGAGCCGCTGACAGTGGAGCGTCAAACATAAAGGGACAACTCTCAGTCCAATCTCATTTGATAATCACCTAACGAGAACTTACTTCTTGTGAAAAGCGTGGGTGCATGGACACACTCCGAGCTCATCCCTGCTGCGAAACTCTTCTAAACAGACCGCACACGTTTGCTGAAAAAGGGGAAACGTCAGGTTATGAAATCAGTTCATAGCCGACACGTCTGTTTTCAGTTAATACAGTAAATCCTGATTCAACCAGTCACAACCATAATGCATCCATTCAGCAGCTGTATTATCCCTAATAATCAATATAAGTTTCCATGATTGCACTGCTATAATCCTTATTTATACTAACACTGCACTGCATGTACTGCCAGCCCTTTTAACCTCCAGGTAATGACAGAAAATGTTTACCGACATGTCAAACTAACTTACTTACTTAATTAATGTGAATAATGTGTAATGTAATGTTTCTATCTGCAACTAATTTAGCAAATGTTGGGGAAGTTTGATGAGAAACATTCAGAAAAACATCATAATCGTCAGAAAATAAGAGTTTATTGCAGAGCAGAGCTATTATAGTAGTTTTAATGTGCTTCCCAGTGCATCTCCCACAAGTTTCACCAGAACTGGCACCAAACCGCATTTGAACGTTGTTGTTATGATGTAATGACCCTCCCCTCCTCTGAACTTCAGTGACTCACATCCTGATTACATGTGCCAGATTGTTACTCTATAATAAAATAAACATTAACAGTGAAAAATACTTCCATGTTATTCCAGAAAATTAGCCGTCACTTCCCTTTAACCACTTTAGTCACTAGACAGCTCCAGTATTGTTTCTACACTCATTCATTCACTCTGAATTCAACTTACACCAAGAAGGCTCAGTTTCTTCCCCGCTCCTTTCAAAACAACCTGTGGACAGGAACAGATTTGTGACAAAAAGTTTTAAAAATATATATATAATCTGAATTACAATTTGACATTAAACTGGATGTAGTCTCACCTCGTTGTAACCATACTGTTCTCTGGCACCTTGTCGCCTCAGTCTGTGAAGCACAAAAAACACAAAGGCATCATGCTGTGATTTAGAGCCATAAAATGTCTTTATTATGTTCCCAGAGGCTCCATATCTGTCTTCCTCAGGACATGTATTGTCATGCTGCATGAATCAGCTGAGATACTGCGTCAAACAGCCCTGGAATTCACACAATGCCAGATTCAAGTAACAGCCTGTGCCTCTACGCTCTCCACGAGCAGATCTATAACACTTTAGAGAAGGTGTCCTTGTGCGAGAATGCTGACTGAAGTTCTGCTTTATTACTATTTTCTGTGTGCTCAGTGGAGCTGGGCTGTGTGTCCCGACGACCCGGTATGCAGAAATATTCAAACACAATAGGAGAAAATAACATATTTATATCGCATGCAAAAAAACTGCATGAAGAAAGTGCATAAAGTGGGAATGTCTGCAAAGGGGAGACTCGTGGGGACCCACAGAACCCGTTATCATTCCGATACCTTGAGGTCAGAGGTCAAGGAGTCCCAGTTTTCTATCATGTCAAAGTTATATTGTTCCCCTATTGAACAATTTATGCCAAATAAATCCATAAAAACTCAATTTATTTGTATTTTTATATCAAAATCCAATCATTCATCAACTGATTTCATCCAATATATATTCAAAGTTTGAAACCTTCCATGCATGTGTGTGCCATCAGATGTCTGTCTGGCAGGCAAATGAATTAAACAAAGGATAACCTCCTTAGCAAACGTAAAACTTTCAACAGGTTTTTCCAGAAATCCTGGAAGTTGCCAGCAGCACACTGACCTTCTCCCCACTTGTGTGTAACAGCAGCTTTCACTTGTACCTTTGTGAACAGACAATGCACAGCGTGTTTAGGAGGCATCTGCAGTGAAAGACTCATTCAAATATTAAAAAACAACTCTGTGGAACTCTTTCTGCTAACGCACAAAGTCAGTCGATAATTCGGCTCACTGAGGCTGTTTCGGCTGAACTGGTAGTTTCATATGACTGACACCGACTGTCTCGTGCCAAATGACACCAAATGATGTCCAACTGGCAAGTCTCACTGCTAGGAAACATATTCCACCAGTGATCGGAGGATATAAAGTTGGTTGAATGCTTATAGCAACTAAACCTCAGGTCTTTAAAGGACCAGTGTGCGGGATTTAGTGGAATCTAGAGGCGTAGCTCAAAGAAATAAAGTGCTTTATAAGATAAATGTCTTTGTCTTTATCTGTATTATTATTATTAGCTGCAGATTACAACCCCTTCACCTCACCTTCCCCTTCCAAGTGTGTAGGAGAAAGGGCCCTACCTACTGTAGAAACATGGTGGACTATTATGTATATAGTTTATAATTATACACCAATGAACACATGCCTATGAATATTATATTTTAATATTAACAACTTAGTTTCTGTAGATATAATAAATGTTAGTTATAGTTTTGACCTCTTGCCCGTCTGCAGGTAAAACCAACAGCTATATGCACTCACTTTAGGTTATCAATCAGTTATCAATCAGTCTGATCATCCAGATGTGAGTGAAACATGCTACCACCGATCTAGTACACAGCGGTTCTGACTCTTCAGCCGTACCTGAACAGGTAGCAGCAGAAGATGAGGCTGAGCATGAGGATGAAGAGGCCGATGCCCAGGATGATGATGTAGACGTTGAGCGGCAGGTGGAAGAGCTCTTCGGACGTCATCTTGCAGTAGGGGTCGACGTTCTGCTGTCCAAGGTCACACAGGCACCCTGAGAGGGACACAGAGCGGAGAGCAACACTAAATCCTCCACACTGGACCTTTAACCTCTGTATTATGGTCTGTATTATGGTCTGTATTATGGTTACAGCACCGTATCACAGATGGTTTTAATGATAATGATTTAATGCAATATTTCCTCAGATTTATATTCTTGTCAGGGTGAAAATTAGAGATACGCAATAAAAACATTATTATATTTTAGCAATTTGTTTAATTTAGTGTAAAAATAATAACAATAATAACAAAGGTCAAACGGTTAATAAGAAGAGAGCTGGTTGGGGGCATTTTAATGACATTATTTTCAGTACTTGAACGTGCTCTCAATCCTTTTCTATCATTAATAAACTGACTCAGTGACATATTTTATAGATATTTTATATTATATTCAAAACTGTACAATGAACCCAAACAGTGAACTCAGTAACTGCAGGAAGTTTTCTCTACAATTAGATATTTGGATGAATTTTAGGCAGATTATTTCCTGTTAAGGTAACTTTTTATACAATATATATAAAAGGATTCGTTCTTGTCCCTGATGCTTAACCATTGTTCTATTAGACCATTTATTTGACTTTATATTTACTTTTCTTCACAGAAGTTTCTTCCAGAAGGCCTCGTAATGCCCCATGAAGCTTTGGCGACCCCGTGTTGGGAACCACGGTTCACACTGAGGTCAGACATGAATCTGATTTGAACCACAAATGAAATCCAGACCAGAATTAATTGAGATTTGTGCTGTTCACACTGTCAAATCTGAGTCACATACGAGCAAATAAACCAGTTTTGGGTTCAGTGTGAACGTAGCTTTTGTCTTCACACACAGAACAAGACGCTCGTGAATATAGTCTACTGTTGTTAATCATGTAAATACACATTCCTGCTTTTAAATGCATTTAGAAAATATATGAAAATGTAATTTTCTAGACATGAACAGCCCCAGTAGACACAGTCAGTTAATTCACATGTCAGGAACGTGGCCTACATCATGTGACATTTAGAAACTCAGCAGAAGTGAGTGTTTCACTCGTGACATTTAAAGACTGAATGAATTTGAAAGCATTGTTTATTCGCTGTTGAATGATGTTAGCATAAATGTTTAGCAAAATCTGTAGCAGCGTGGGTGAGCGGCCGTGTTATTTCTTGATGAATGATTGATTATTGGACTATTTTCTACCCAAACCTGAGAGCCCACTCTCGTCTTGAGCACCAGCTTACAAACCTGAGGGTTGGTCGACCACAACAGTTTATTTTAACCTTTCAGCTGAAGGTTCGAATTATGCAACGGATCAAATGACTCCTGTAGGTCTATGTGTAATGTGCCAGTTGTCAGTTAGTGAAAAACCCACAGATTCATATCACACAATTGTGCAGTTTCCCCGCAGCACTGCTGAGCATTTTAGCCTCTTTATTTATTTGGGTTTACAGTCTCCTCAGCCTCGTTTCCAACCACAGCAGGCAGCTCTGATAAACCCACAGTTCACTACCTGCCCAGCAACACCCACCAGCAGTGGAGCATTTAGCAGCTGAACAGCCTGATTTGATTCTCAGGAACTGACGGAGCAAACAAACAAACTCTGTTATGATGTTGTTTGTGTTTTGCTGGATGTGTAAATAACAAACACTTTGCTAGTATGTCAGTGTCCAAATGAAATGGAAATCAGAGGGCTGTTTGCTTCCCCATATTTAGAGAGAGACTAGCCAATAGTGCTGTGGGACCAAATACAGCATCCGACAGTTTGATGACGGGAAACAAATAAGGTACCATTGTGTTTTGTTTTGACGGGTTTGGCTTCTGGCACCCCGGGGGCCAAGTTAGTGACAGTTGGCTTCTTTTAGCAACAAGTCCAACTGGAAAACTCCCATAAATCACCTCGGTACCGCTGTCGTCAAACTGTCCTCTGTCTGTCTCAGAGGTTGTGTTCACTGGGAGGCTGCTGAGCCCCGTTCGGTTGCTAACCCTAACCCTAACCCGCTAATGGGGATGTAAAGGGTTAAAAAGGTGTTCTTCATTTAATCTTGACTTTAAAGTTGCATCATCGCTCTGTAAATAAACTAACTGTGATGGATACAATTAAGGAGCAAAGGATGACATAACTAATCATGTATATATGTGTGTGTACATCTTCATCTTACAATACGGCCTTTTGCTCTCAGTGGAACGTAGGTCGTCCATAATGGCCTTTCACTGTACGTTTATTGTTTCAGGGTTTTCTGTAATCTTTGCGTCCACTGAGCTGTAGATATCTGTGTAACCTGTAAGACCTGGCACACACGCTCCACGCTGCATCTACGAAGCCTCGTGTTTCAAATTGCAACGCAATCCTGTTCACACTGTAGAGCTGCAAGACTGTGTGTGCACATTTAGATAAAGTTGAGATATGAGCACATGACTAATGTCTAATTTCGTGTTTGACTAAGACGCGAGTAAACAATTGACCACTTTTTTGTTTATATAGTTTAGTCTTTTAGTTATTTGTTTAAACGGAAAGCGCTTGGCAAATGAGTGTAATGTAAAATATGTATGGCACAAATCCAAAATAATCAAGCTCAAACAGAAACTCCCCGAAAGTAATTCAGTGGAGCTGCTGTCACCACTTAAATAAATGCAAGAAAACACTTCTGATTTACCGATTCAGATAAAACTTAAGTTACAAATTTGGATGAGTTGTGTTGACACAATGTGGAAAAACTAGTTGGAACAAGTTAATTTCTCTGAGTAGCCTAATCTAAACTTAAAGAAAACTTACCTTTGATTGTAGATATAAAAGCTAATGTATTACATTACAACATAATTTCATTAGAAGTTGCCGGAACTGTTTTTGTTTCTACTTATGATCACTATCCTTGTGATGCTCAGTGACTAAACCAGGAGAGAAATCTTACACATATTTACACTGGAGAGCACTTTCATGGGAGCTTTTACAACCTTTGCGTCACACAGGAATGCTTCCCACTTTTAGAGTAGTTACTCGTCTGAGTTTGATTTCAGCCTGGAGGCGTTTTAGCTGTTCATGAAACACTTCAACCAGGAGTTAACTATTTCTTAAGGTGCAGTATCGCAACGTAAACTGTGCAGGTGACCTCCTGGTTCAGAAAGTCATTTGTTAATGGACAGAGGTCACAGCGGGAGGGTGCAGTCGTCACTTGTACAGTGTGTGTGGGGGGTTAAAGAGGGTTTGGGTGAAGGAGGAGGCAGCTGTAATCTTAGCACGACGTTAGTAAATCATTGATAGTGGAGCGCTAAAAGGTAGGCCACTGTGCAAATGCATGCAGTCTGGACAGGACTGTACCTGAACACTGTTAAACAGGAGTGGCAAGTAACCTGAAAACCTTCCTGCAGAGGCAAAGAGGAAATCCTTCACTGTAAAACCGGATCAGTTATTTTGACTCAAAATATTGTTGAAACTGATTAAATCAAACATTTTAAGTTACACTGACTTAATTTTGTAATCTTTATTTGTTCTCACAGTATAAAATTAGTGTCACTTAGTGTTTTAACTCTCAAAATTATGTTTGTCTTACTTAAAATGTTCGATGTAATCAGTTTCAACCATTTAGTTTGGAGTTAAAATAGCTTGTCACATTACAGTGTAACTACTAACTAGTTTTAAACTAAATAAAATACTTTAATAATGTGTAACTCGGTTGCTAGGAAACATGTAGGACTGTCCAATAAAAAGCTAACGGGAAGTCACTGTAGCATCACAAGCTGTGGCAGTTTTATGAGGCCAAATAATGGATTATATTCTATTACAATCCTCTATAAATGTGGTTATTTTGAGTAATGGGATTTATGAGTGGGAAGTATTAAATTAAGCCAATTTAACCAATGTAATTTAATTATTTAACTTTACCATTAAACACGATCTTAAATTAAATAAAAAATATTCCCAGTTTAAATCTTTATTAAACAGCCCTTTTAAACCGCTTTTAAATATTAACATGTTATATATTACCAAACTAACTTTAGCTTTGTCACTTAAGTTCTTAGTAGCAACCCGGATGTAACTCTACTTCTATGAGTACGCACGCCAGCCCTTATCCGTTTACCCATCAAGCATCTGGGGAGCAGACGGCGAGTGGGAGGTGAGGTTGAATGTGAGAGGATGAGCGTCAGACAGGTGAGGGGGAGAGGAAGCTACCGAGCTAGGGTACGTCCACACTGTGCTATATAAAGGCTAACCGCAGCAACTACGCCAACAATGAAACTGAAAGGCTTTAAAGACTGTCCAGCCAAATGCATTTTAGGTAGAACAGCAGTTATGTGTATGTATTATTGTTTCATGTGTAAAAAGTTGAAATAGATGAGTAATTAAGAATTTAAGTATTATTTTATGATTCATTTTAATTAGCACATTTATACCCAAACTATTATTACTCTCTGCTATTAATACATAGATTAAAGTCAGTGAGAGAACATAAAGATTCCCTTTGTTTTAATTCCTACATTGTCCTGAAATTGTCTATACGGGATTTTAAAGGCAACACGAAGCGAATATCGACCAATATCTTGACCGTGGTCCAGTGAGCCAGTGGCTAGCCGTAAGCAGACGTGTGTTAGTCGAAGAGGCAGCGGGAACGCGTTGGTCATCTTCTGCGTGGTACTGGGACTACCACTGGGCTAGCTAGCCACCTCACTGCCATCACTGGGCAAACATAAATAATAAATAAATCATAAATGGATCACAGCTTTGCGGGGTCCGCCACCCTCTAGAGGACGAAGCCTGCACGAAATGGAACTAGTTTGTGTGTTTAATGACGTGTAAATCTCCACTTAGTAGAGACTTGAGTCATTGTTCGGCTTATTTGAACCTGAAAAGATGCAACCGGGGCTCCAGGAGACTTACCGTTACACCACTGGACAGGATGCATCGGTTGGCAAACCCAGAATATCTTTGGGGTCGTGACCTCTCCAATGTAACAAAGCCTGGTTTCCACAGAGGAAGGAGCTTTACTTCCACGACTTTTCAGGTTCAGACTAGTTTACCCTGAGTGGATGTGCAGTGAGTGACAATCCTTGTGGTCTAAGCAGACCTGAGTAGAAGCTCCACAAGAAGACGTCGGGCTCATTTGAACCCCTGAAACCTCAATCTGCAGCGACACAAACATCCATTAATTCTGATTTAGACTCCCAAACAACTGTAAAGGCATCAGGGTTGTTCTGTCGCTGACAGACAAAGAAAACAGTCTTGAAGAAGAACCTTGTGGATAAAAAGACCCCAATGTAACTGACAGTATGGGGAAATACACTCCAGATCCCATCCAACACTAGGGTTATGTACCTCTGACCGAGCTGCTTTTTTTTTTTTTTTTGTCTCCCCTTCAAAACATTGTCACGAGTCTCCTCTTCCCTTCCTCCTCTTCTTTTTCTCTTCTCTCCCTTCCTTTTTAGACCTCCACGTCGCCTTCTTTCTCTGTGGCTGTGAAAACCTGCTGTGGCCAATTATGGAGAGACAAAGGGAAGGACATGGATGGGTTTCTCCCGGCAGCACGACCAGCCAGTCAGCCAGTCAGGCAGGCAGTCAGGCAGGCTTGCAGGCAGACAGGCAGGCAGGCAGACAGGGCAGCCTTCAGTGTTCCTGTGGAAAGCAGCGTCTCATCTCTTCCCTCTGAACAAAGAACATAGCAGGTATGACGCTGGGAGGAAGACAATGCGGCTGATGTGAATTCAGATCCAGGTATTTTTCTTCTCACATTCACTCTCCTCCTCCTCTCTCCTTCCTCGTCTCTCTTCTTCCACTTCTCGTCTACAGCCCTCAGTTTGTAAACAGATCCCTGCTCATGTGATTCGCTGTCTGCATCAGAGCTCTGCTTTCACCGCCCCCTCCTTCCTCCTTCCTCCCTCCCTCCCTTTACCTCTCACCCCCTCCTCTCCTTCCTTTGCAGCTGCAAGCTATTATTGAAGTAGCTGCAGAGCAGATGGCAGACAGGCAGATGTGGAAACAGGCGTGGGGAGAGGCTGTTGTGTGATAGTTGCGAGGTAGTTTGATTGATTACATATTCTTTGTGGAATTGATCAATAGCAGCTATCATTTATACAAACTCTCTCCCTGTTTGTGTAAAGATCACGGCCTCAGCTGGTTCAGACGGGGTATTGCTGATCCACCAAGACTGCTTCATGAGTCAGTTATGTGGCAATTAGTTTGTGGTAATAAAATTCATTGTAAATATGATTGTAAAAGAGGTTGTCCACCCTAAAACCTCAGCCGTTAGTGAATCATATGAATGTACTGTAATGAAACACATCAATGCTGCTGTTACTATTTAAAATTATTACCAAATTTATGAAAATCTGCATTTTGTGGGTTAAAAATCTACTGTTTTAAATCATCCTATACATTTTAAGACAAATGCAAAGATAGATTCGACAGTTTTGGGGCGACTCTGCATCACAACGTTTGTATAATCAGAGGAAGGCCCACCTCCCCCAGCCTCTGATGGTAAGTGGAGTCATCATGCTGTATGGAAGAAGACTGAAACTAGAGATTGAGACCATAAACTCATCAGGAAACTGTTTACTGAGCTCATAAATCAACTGAGAAGTCGACTCATTTCTCCATAAGATGAATGATATCTGTCTTTTATTGCAGCCAGTGGAGCTGCCCCCTGCTGGCCGTTACATAGAATGCAGGTTTAAGACACTTCACAGACCTCTGTCCGTTATATTTACTGTTAATGATAGAGACGCATCATTCATGCTATAGTTTTTGCTAAACCTCTACTTACCTTACAATGAGCCTTGCAATCTGCAGATGCACCACTTGATGCCACTGAATCCTCCACACTGGTCCTTTAAGGTTGGTTATTGGTACTCTGCGTGTACTAAATACTTACACATTATCAGTGTTGGGCAGTAAGGCATTACTAGTAGAGCTTTGATTGGGCCCAAACCACCACTTTACTTACACATTACTTTGATTTTAACAAACTGCATTTTAAGTCTGAATTTTGGGGGGAAGGGGAACCAATTTTGTGGAGATCAGCAGAAAAGTAATATAACTAGTAGTGTAACTGATTGCTGTTGGCAGGGAGTAATAAGTGCTCAGTACATAATAAAGCATTATAGTTTGTTTTGAACATTTGAAGGAAAGTGTTCAGATATAAAGAAACACTCCTTTAACACACTGAGCTCATTGTACTCATCACAGGAAATATTACTCAGCCTGTGGAAGCATTTTCATCATGTTTTCTGTGGCTCTGGACGGATATTTTTATTAACATCATGTATACACAGCTTCAGTCATCCGTCACTGACTACACAGGATGCGTTCAGGGGCAGGACTGCTTGTTTCAGCAGCGCGTGTTACCTAAACACTTCTGTGGAAACATAACATGCCTCCAGTGAACAACTGCTTCAACAGAAACCCTGTGTCACGAGCTGCAGCTGTGGAGTTGGGAAGATATGGGAATCTTCTCCAGGGAACATCTAATGAAACATGCCATTCAGTTGCATTATGGGAAGTGTAGGATCCAGGGTGCAAACTGTAGGGGAGTTTGGCATGTTGTGATGTTTTTAGGCAACGAAATTGCAGCAGAAAGTGAAATAATTATGAAAGACTGAAGGAAACTTTAGTTATAATCGACCGTTTGGACGGTAAATGTAAGAAGTTGCAACACTAGAAATGAGGAGGCCACTGCTGATGTATGATTTGTGCATGAGGGTAATTCATCACTAATTCACATTAATAAAGATAATGCTATTCTTCCATCATTGACTTCAGATCAGAAAATATCAGAAAATATATCTGGGTTTCGAGGCCTTATTGATTTTTAAAGGGCGTAAGAAATTAAACTTTTATTTAAGATCTAAACTTTAAAGACCTGAACACAAGATATATTCACCGAACTCTGATAAACAGCCTCGTCCTGCATCAGAAAAGTAGAACAGTTGAAATAAACAATAAGAAGAAAACACTGAATTTGCCTGTTAAGTGTGTATGATTGGTAAAAATCACATTAAAATTGCATAATGCAGAAAGAATTGTAGAAAAAGTTCCTAAAAATATCTCTGATCAATATTCACAGGAAATAATCTGCTTAAAAATTCATACAAATCACTGGTTTAACACAAACTTCCTGCAGTTAATGTGTTCACTGTTCACTGAGAGAAAGTTGAACAGGTACACAAAAGAGATTAATTATAAAACGAACATATTAATGAACAAAGTCTGGTGAGATGTGAAGGAAATAACACACAACCTGATGTTTTCAGCTCATTAGCTGCACCTCCCAGTTTCTGCTGTTTTACTGTGTTTGTTATTTGCTGCTACTTTATTTCAAATGCAGTCACCTGACCAAAGGAACTGAGTCAAAGGAGTAAACACTTTAGAGTTCAACTAAACACACACACACACACACACACACACACACACACACACACACACACACACACACACACGGTGAAAACGTGTCTCAGCTCTGCCAAGAATTGAGGATTAATGAAACCAGTGAGTTTATTTCTGCCTCCAGAGCCGCTCGGACTGAAACTACAACCTGCTAATTGATTCCAGTCAGGAGCAAGTAAACACTTTCAGTGTGTGCTCGAATGTGCAGCTCACAAAAAAAGACAAAAAGAAAGCCATTTTAGAGAGCTATAGAAATAAAAATATATGATATGTATGTAAATAGAACAAAATATAGGTAATTTACTAAAACTTGTACCTTGGAAATGTTAATATATGTGATATAAAAATAGTTATATGGAAGGATTAGATGCACAACTTGATCTGTAGGCAAATAACTATAAAATGAAATTCTTATTCACCTTTTATTTACTTGTTTTTTTATCAAATTCCTTTTACATGGAAGTCAGAATAAATAGAAAGATTGAAAAAGAATTTGTCTGTATGGTTTCAAAGCTTTATAATATGTGTCTGAACTATAATAAACAGTGTTTATATGGAGCTCACTTCAGAAGAACCAAAGGTCCATCTAGTGGCTGATGTGCAGAAGTGCAGCTCTGGGAAGTCGCGTTTGTTTGTTAAAAATCTTATTGAAACTCATAACTCCTCTAATATGAAAGTATATTAAAGCAAACATAAAGACAACAACACTGTGCATCTGGAACCACTGATGGTACCATCTGCCTCTGAAATATTTTATTATTATGTTATTATTTAAAAGATAATAATATCAAAAACATTTCAAATAAAAACATAAACTGTGAGAACTCTGAAATGTAATGTTAAAGTTTTGCATTTACTTTTTTTATTGGTGTAAAAACAAAAACTAACAAAGATAAACAGGAATAAAATACTCAAAGACAAGAAAACAAACATGCAGAACTTTGGTGGTTGGTTTCAATATCAGCCAGGTTACACAAACATCGGTGATTATTCGGGAGGTAAAATGTGACTGTAAGAAAGTGAGCGGAGGTCAAATGAATGGTTCAAAGCCGCCGCAGTCGTGGCTCCAAACAGGAACTATTGGGAAGAGAAGTGTGGACCAGAATCAGCTCTGGTTCTTGAACCGGTTCTGTTCACTACTTACACATACTTAGAGATGTTTTATGAGATTATATGTGATCTAAAACTCTTGGGAAACACAGATGAAGGAAAAACTACGGTGGCTACCAAACTTGTGACCAGCTCAATCTAGAGTCAGTGTTCAACATGTTCAACCCGCTCCCTCTGTAGATAAAAACATCTCATCCTAAGTTAACAAAACATAAACATTCCTATATTCAGGTGATTAAACACTAATGAACTTATCAATATTATATATATTATATTAAATTATATCTTATTTCAGCCGATAGATCCTCCTCATTGTTTCACACTGGACCTTTAATAAAATAATGTTCCTTTATTATTCCTACAGGGATTTATGAGACAGTGTGTGTGCTACTTCCTGCTAATTACTGACCTTATTATCTGTTACATAAATGGTGAGTATAATAGAACTTACTACAAAATAAACCCCTGTTGGCCTGCAGAACATCTTTGTTCCTGCTCCAGTACGAGTATTATAGGAAGAAACCATTAAATGATCAATGTTAGTCAAAATGTATAGGCCTACCTTGTAGTTTTATATCAGATATATAATCATCTTATTATTATTATTATTAAAATGTAATAATATCTCACATTGCAACCTTTATTTTCCTGCTGCTTTACAAAGAACATTCAACTCTTTCTGCCTTTTCCCTTTGCAACGAGATCTAATGAGTCATTTAACTGCTCATCACATCGACCTTGTATGAAATATCACAGTAACTCCTGAACAATAGAATCATACTGTGTGAATCATTGGTTGTTTATGTGTCTCTACCTGCATAATAAATAATAATAAGACCTGTTGATCTTATTGAATGAAGTTCAGTTTGCAACCATTGTTTGTTCTTTTATACAATATTAACATTAATAGAGTTTCCTCTCCAGCTTTTGGGATTCATGAGTGTTTAGTTTCATCTGATATACGAACATTGTGTAGTTAAATTATTCTGAAGACTCCGGTACATACAGGGATGCATTATGGGAACACCTCATAGATTTATGGACGAATGTTCTGGATAAAAACTGTCTTTTGTTTCATTTAATTTAAACATTTATTGATATCATGCTGTGTTAAACATGTGGAAACTCTGTGTTGATCAGGTTGATCTCTTTAGTTTAGTTTCAGAGATTCTGTAGTCGCGGTCGCTTTCGATGGTGATTTCTGCACGATTTCTCGCCTCCTTGGCTTGCGAAGGAAACATGGAGGCGTTTGGAGCCATGGTAAAAGTCGTTTAACAAATCCATGAGCCACAAGGCAGTGGAGGTGTCAGGAAGCATCACTAGAGCTGTTTGTCCG